TACAAATGAAAGTTTAGTTATGTGCATACTCTCATACAACGGCGTAGCTAATTAAGGGGATGCATATTAGGGCCCACTCCGCATTCGGTAAAAACACCAATTTAATGTGCAAGGAATTGTGAAAGTTTTATATGAAATTTTTTTTACCGGCCCAAAACAATGTATCTAATCTCCTAGTTACAACACTATACTCCTCTTACCTGCACACTTCTCCATAAATTTTGTACGGAGTATTATAGATATTTCACGAAAGATACTGGGTAGAATAAACTCATTTAATATGTAAATAACTTGGTAATGATAATTAATAATGAGCTGACGACGTTTTGCTAGACCATCTAAACAAAAGGTACAACTTGTAAATTAAATTAAATGTGACAACAATGTCTAAGATTGAATCTATTACTCCGTACAAAATATGGGGGAAATCACAGAGTATTATTTTAGAGCCCGTTTGGTAGAAAAAAAAATCGACTGATTTGGCTGATTCTGCTGAAACTTATGAAGTTCTGGCTTAAGTGGCTGCATTGGCTGATTCTGCTGATTTAAGAGAAAATTATTTTTAAAATATACGTAATACTAGTATTTCATTAATAAATTAAAGAAAAATATTATGTAAAAATAGTTAAAATGATCATCTACAGTAACTTCAACCAATACAGCCAGAAAAGTAACCCAACCTTACTTTTTCTGCTTATTACACAATTCAACGCTCGAAAGCAAAAATTACGTGTTTCGTGAAAAAGTTGATTGATAAGCCTAATAAGCTGAAAAACAGTGTTGCCAAACGGCCTCTTAAGTTTAGGTAAGTATGCCCCCAATTAACTTTATTTTCTGGATCCGCCATTGGAGATAGATTAAGGGAAGAATTAATATTCAAGGAAGAAGATTAAATATGAATAATCCTACTATAACTAATGTCAAGATGTTATCTAATTGTCATCTTAGCAACACTCCCCAACATTAATATATAAAGGAAGAAAATAAATACTAACATAATTAATGTCGAGATGTTAATTAATTGTCATCTTAGCAACACTCCCCAACATTAATATATAGATAGATTAAGAGAATAATTAATATTCAAGGGAAGAAGATAAGAAAATAACTCACAACTTTAATAACCAACAAGCTTCAAGAGCAACACCAAGAAATGGAAGTTTAGCTCCTCATTTGGAGACTAAACATACTATAAAAATATAAAAGAAATACTATTCTAAACTGAGCTTAAGAGTATGGAAGAAGGGATGTTCTTGACATGTTTTAAGCTCAGAATAATCCTAATCTAAACAAATTACATTTATATAGGAAAATAAACTAATTACACCAAAAGTGTGTAATTTTCCAAACAACAACAAATAAAACTAGTTAAAATAGAAATAATAAATAATAAAAATACAACTCTATCAACTTCCCCATGCTTAGTTTCTTTACTTGTCCTCGAGTAAAGTCAATGTTTCATCAACACTTCAAACAATCATGAACAAGCAAAACACAACCAAGTAATGTTTAAAATGTGTTTTACAAAGTGAAATGATTCCACTTATGCACTACACACTTCATGATATTGGGTTTACTTGTCTTCTATGCTTTCCATGTTCCTCTTCATCATTGTATCACCACATCCCTGTAAAAATAATTTCTCTCATTTCTCTCATTTTGCCTAGGATTTTTTTTTTTAAATTTATCCTAGCCTCTCATTTTTTTCTTTCTCCCCTACTCACTCATTTTTTTTTGCTTTTATTGCCTAGATTGCCCATTTGGGTTTTCAACCTAACTAGCTTTTTTTTATGTTTTTTTTCTAAACAAAAATAAAGAGTATGAGAGTGAGTATTCCATGAAACCCTCCCCCCAATCTAGTCAAAGAACTGTCCCTAGTGCTCATCTTCAAGACGTCATAAAAAAGGAGAATTCGAACTTGGTGTAGGTGGAGTTGGGGAATTCGGATTTTGGATTATTTGGTGGGTTTTGTTGGTATAGAAATGAAAAATGTGGGGAGGATAAGAAGAATATGAGTTTAGTTTGTTGATTTGGTGGATGTATGAAGAAGATATGAAAGTGTGAGGTTGTAACTATGGAGGGTTTGGGGTGTTGGGTTTGAATGGGGTGATACGATTTTTTTTAAAAGTGCAAAAATAAAATAAAATAAGTAAACATATCTTGCATGGGTTGCCTCCCAAGAAGCGCCTCGTTTAACGTCGCGGCACGACGCCATCATTGTGTTCAATCGTTCAAACTCGGATCGTGATAATTTATCTTCTTCACACTTTCACTCCTAGGACTTCCATAGGAATGATAAATTTCTCGACTCTTCACTTTGGAAATCTTTCCAGGATCAAATATCCAGATTTTCATTGATTCATGTGGTGGGAGGGAGGGGAAGAAATTATCATTTAGCATGGTCAATGAGAAGTTTTTCGATCCCTCAGTTTTGAAGAAGATTTCAGAAATGTCATTGTCCTTTTCAAGTTTATGAGTTTCTCTTAAAGCGTCCAGGGATGATGGAGATACCTCAAAGGATGACAATGAAAAAAATTTGAATTTGAAGCTCGGCTTATCCTCTTCTTTGACCAGTTGGAGCTCCGTGTCTTTTTCTTCTTCTACTTCTTTTGGATTCTGGGTCTCCTTTTGCATTTCCTTTTCATTTGTCAATGTGATTGCAAAAGTTTGCTATTCAGGATCACATTCTATTTGAGAAGCAAGTTTTTCTGAATCTCTTGCTTCAAGCCTACTCACGGCTCCGGCTATTTGACTCATCTGAGTTTCCAAGTTCAAAATGCTAGACTTGGTCTCATTTTGGAATTGCACCATGTTGTTTTGCATAGTGGTCATGCTAGTAGCAATAGCCCGGACCTTATCCTCTGTAGACATGTTAGAGTTGGAGAACGGATTATACCTCATGTGAGGTACATCTCTTTCGTAACCAACATCATCAGTTTCTTCAAGGTATTCATGTTGGAGCTTTGGAGAGAAATCCGTAAAATGCCTGTGAGACATGCAAATGTTGCATGTCTTGGCATCTTGAGCTTCCGAGTTTAAGATAAATTCCTTTATTAGAGAAGTCAAGAAGGAAATTTGACTCTCTAAGGATGATATGTTGGCATCCATATACTCATAACTCATGTAAGCTCAGAAAATAGAAGAGTAAGTTTTTTTTTTTAAATATTTTTTTATTTTTTAATTTTTTGTTTTTGATTTTTATGAGATAAAATAAAAAGAAAAATAATTGCCTTTCCCCGGCAACGGCGCCAAATTTGACGTGCACTTTGTCGTGAGTGCACTCAAAATAAATTCAATACTAACACTTATACGTAGTATAGTGAAGTAAAGTTCGTATCCACAGGGAAAGGAATAATTCTCTTTTTATGTAACTAGGGGGGTTTTGATTGAGTGATTTAATTAAATAAAACATGAGGATGAACGACTTATATGAGATTTAATTCAAATATAAAAAGGACTTGGCTTGCTACTTTCCACTTGTTGATATATTTTAGTCGATCATTGTTATATCTATAACTTATTCCCTCTCGAATACTCAATCGAGGAGTATATCCAATTCATCGAGGGTAGTTATTAACAACGACCGTTCTTTAATAACTCTTACTATTAGTCAAGTATAGAACACCGCCATATACCGACTTAATAGTAGCATTTAATCTCTTAACTCCTTGATGAAATCAATTGAGATTGATAACCTCAACACAACGGTTTCGGTTTAACCAACAAAATTAATCCCTCTTAAGTTTATTAACCACGACCGTGCATTAATAAACCGAAGTTACTTACTTGTGAAGCCATCAACGATTAACCATCGGTTCGTTGATCGTTTCTAGTAGTAATTAATGTCGAGATGTTAACTAATTGTCATCTTAGCAACACTCCCCAACATTAATATAGAGATAGATTAAGGGAAGAATTAAAATTCAAGGAAGAAGATTAAATATGAATAATCCTACTATAACTAATGTCAAGATGTTATCTAATTGTCATCTTAGCAACACTCCCCAACATTAATATATAGAGGAAGAAAATAAATACTAACATAATTAATGTCGAGATGTTAACTAATTGTCATCTTAGCAACACTCCCCAACATTAATATATAGATAGATTAATAGAATAATTAATATTCAAGGGAAGAAGATAAGAAAATAACTCACAACTTTAATAACCAACAAGCTTCAAGAGCAACACCAAGAAATGGAAGTTTAGCTCCTCATTTGGAGACTAAACATACTATAAAAATATAAAAGAAATACTATTCTAAACTGAGCTTAAGAGTATGGAAGAAGGGATGTTCTTGACATGTTTTAAGCTCAGAATAATCCTAATCTAAACAAATTACATTTATATAGGAAAATAAACTAATTACACCAAAAGTGTGTAATTTTCCAAACAACAACAAATAAAACTAGTTAAAATAGAAATAATAAATAATAAAAATACAACTCTATCATCCAGATACATTATATAAGTGCTGATTTTTCTAGCTATTAAATGCAAGCTAATAGAGCTCAAAACCCATTTTAATTAGGGCCCATATAATATGGACGAATTTTGGGAACCCTAAAGCCATATTTTCACCCCCTCCACACCTATAAATATGGGTCTCAGTTGAGAGAAGGGGAGGGGATCTTCCAGACGAAGAAACACTGCAGAAAAGCTCTGAAGAACTCCCGAAAGGCTCTGAAGGATTCCGAAGCATCGGAAGATAGCAAGCCACGTTTTTGTCAAGAATATATAATTAATCCTTTGTGATTTCATTTATTCTTGATCAAACAAAGCAAAAAGTTGAAGAACGTTCGAAGATCTGAAGAACGAAGCTTGAAGATTCGAAGATCTGAAGAACGAAGCTTTGAAGATTCGAAGATATGAAGAACGAATCTTTGAAGATTTGAAGATATTCATATGAAGATTGAATCAAGATTCAATTGAAGATCAAGCCATATATCCCGGGAGGCCCTTAAACAGAAGATCAAGCCATAAAACGGCCCTTTTGTTGAAGATCAAGCCACTTGAAAATAATCAGTAAGCCCTTCTTGTAATTCAATATGAGCCATTGATACTCATTTTAAGAATGATATCCAGTCCACAACCCCATTAATGATTGCTTACTCGGGAGAAAGTGGAGCGAGGTCTCTTGAGAAAAGAGGTGCGCGTAAGAGGATTTTTCAAGGTGACGTATCAGCATGGTTATGTTCCACGCACAAGCAATGGAAGAGGCACATTCTGGAGTATGTGGAGCTCATCAGTCCGGTCCTAAATTGCACTTTCTTGGGATTCAATATGAGCCATCGGTATATTAGTATATACTCCATCCGTCCCAATTTGTTTTGCAAAGCCAATATTTTTTAGTCAACTAATAATAAAAGTCAATCCTCTTTACTGACAATTGACTCATTTTTAATAATTAAAAGGAAAAATTGACAAGAATAATCCAACTTTTCACTGGTTTTCTCATAATAATCCCACCTTTAAATAATCCCAAAATAATCTCACCTTTGCACCCCATCTTCTTTCATTGGACCCTGACCAAGTTTTTACCTTTTTTAAAAATCTTATATAAATAATCTCACATTTATAAGGATATAATTAAAAAGTGAAAGGTGAGATTATTTGTATAATTTTCAAAGAAAGAGTAAAAAACATGGTCAGGGTCCAATGAATGAAGATGAGTTGCAAAGGTGGGATTATTTTGGGATTATTTAAAGGTGAGATTATTATGAGAAGACCAGTGACAAGTGGGATTATTCTTGTCAATTTTTCCTAATTAAAATTTACATATTCATAAACTACATTAAAATCTCTTCAAAGTTGTAAACACCAAATTAGAGTATAATTAAAATTGACATCCTAATTAAGCAAACAAAATAGAACTATTTGACCAAGAAAAGTCAAATTCCCAAATCAATTTGCGACGGAGGTAGTACTATATACAACGTGTACAACAGTACAACCACGCATGCAATCACAATATTTTTGTTGATAAAATAAATACCACTTTTTAAAATTTACTAGCAGTATTGTTTATGTCCAATTAGGCTATTTATACACTTGAATTGAATGTGTTTTTAATTCCATTGAAATTGGTTCAAATATAATGAGTTTACCTACACTCATGAACATTTACATTAAAAATTATTGTATGAGTTCAGTAAATGTCTGTCTAAAGAGTATTTAGTAAAGACTGAATCCATTCAATTTTTCTTTATTGTCATGATCACTTGATAAGTCGATAAGATTTCAACAAATTCACCCATTGTTAAAATTAATCAGTGAAATACTCACCAACTTTCGAATTTTCACCACTCTATTAGTACTTGCAAAATACTTTTAAACATAAGCACAAGTTGTGTTAGTCTATAGATACATCACATTCACACCAAATAATTTGTTTCTACATGTAAGAGTGTAGGTAAGTGGAATCGTGAGAACAATGGAAGATGCAGTCTCGTTGCTTGTCTCCTCTCCGTCTACGGGGATCTCAAAGAGGACTTTGGAGGAGTCTAATCAGGATAATATTATTGTGGATGTACAAAATCTATTTATCATGGATGGCGAAAACTATGACGGTGGATGTGGCTCTAATCGTGTCTCTGGTTCGCCTTATGTTAATAGGACAATACCCAGTGTAGGCATCAATGATTACCTAATATTGATTGGTTACTCAAATCATATCAGGTATTTAACATGATGTCATTTTGTAGGTCAGATTACCCGGCACAACGCATTATCCGCTTCCAGTTCTCATGGAAGAGAAGAATATTGCAAAATATGAAAGGATTGTTGCTCTCAGCAAAATGTCTCTTAATTTTTACGAGAAAAATCATGTATGTCGGGTTTCTTTCCTCTCGTAAACTTACATCTTAAAGAATGATACTAATGACCAAATCATTTCAATACTCATCATATTCTTCTACTCAATTTGTAGCCAGGAGAGCGGTATGAGTTTGACAGTCTGAAGGATGTGAAGAGTATGCCTATTTGTGGCCTAACATATTTCATCATCTTTTTGGCACAAAACTTGAGGGTAGATGGTAGGCCTTCAGGAACATTTAAAGCCCGAGTAAACTTGCTTATGAAGGACATCAAAGTGCTGGAATGCAAGCTCATAAATTAATTAGATTGGTTATGTAGTACATACTAGCTGTGTATGGAGTATTTTCATGTTTTAGTGGTTACTAATAGTATATATATTTATGCGGCACTTTGAAGTGAAGAACTGGCTTCAATATAAGCTAACTGGCTTGGGTACTGTTTGGGGCCTTTGGCTTCTATTAATGAGTAATGACATACTCCCTCTGACCCATTTATATTCTCCCAGAAGAGGGTGGCACGGTTATTAAGAAAAGTAGGTTTGTGTGGTTGATATTAATTGATAAAGTAAGAATAAAGTAAGAATGATTTAGAGCCACACAAACTTTGCCAAATATGGTATGGGACAATATAAGTGGGACTTCTCGAAAAGGTAAAACGGGACAAAATAAATGGGACGGAGGGAGTAATGTTTATGGAATTTTAATTATGTTTCAAGAGTTGCTAGTGAGTAGTGATAAAACTATTACTATTATGTAGTCCGTGCTTAATTAAAAGTTGATCAATTGTTTCAAAAAAATTGTTGTTCAATTTTTTCTAATTTGATAAACTTTTTAAATTTTGAAGACTTGATTATACTTTTAGCACCACTAGATATAGTACTTTTTGTTTGGGAGAAATTGACTTTGCACCTCACTTTTTGGGTGATATTGGACTTTGCACAACATTTTGAAAAAACTTTGATTTTGCCCCCACTCCACTTAAAATTCATTTGACTTTGCATCCCTTTTAGAAATTTTTCTTCACAAAATGGAATGTGTTGGGATGCAAAGTCAAAGTTTTATGAAAATGGGGTGCAAAGTTGAATATCATCTAAAAAAGTGTGGTGCAAAGCTCAAATCCCTCTATTTGGTTTAAAATCTTTTTTTCCCGATCCATTCCTGCCATGGACACTACTTTTGTTTGTTAATTGTTCATATCCAGTCCAACAATATCAATTTTGGAAAGTAAAAACATTTGTTGAGTTCTGCACCAAAATACTTCGTATTCGAGTCAACTTTATAACATGAGTTTAATTGCAAGCGAAAATGATCACTATTTTTATGAATGAATAAGATTTTTTGGGGTAGTGGTTTTCCAAAGTAAAAATGAAATGATGTGCTACCACTAGACCAAAACAATATAAGCACAACGGCAAAGAAAGGTTAAAATAAAAACTACTCCGTATGCAATTTATCGAATGCTCCGTAAGTAAAAGAGAAAATTAGTGTTCGAAGATTTACCATGGAATTCGTCCCATGCTGAGATCCAACTTTCTCAGTTTCTGTACGTATTATAGAATCATAGATGACTCATCAGGCAAAGAAAATTATCTGATTTTATAATGGCCGGAATTTGTACCATTACCAATTAAAAACCATTATTGCAAATTATAATGGAATTGAATTCGTACCATTAGCAATTAAAAGAGAATATTACCCGAAATAGGACTAAATATGTTTGAAAAATCGAAAATAGGACTGCCATGTTTTTGTTCCCAAAATAGGACTAATTACTGTCATGTTTTGGCGGTATCGGACTTCAAACATCACAATATTTTTCAAACTTGACAGTGATTACTCCTATTTTGGGAATAAAAAATATGGCAGACCTATTTTGGAATTTTGAATATGTTTGTCCTATTTCGGAAACTTTCCCCAATTAAAAACAATGGAAAATCACACATTTCGTCCCCCAATTATCAACCATATTGAAATCTCAGACCCGTTCTTCAGGTTTTTTAAACGTCACCCCCGGGTTGTCAGAATAATTATAATTGTCATCCCTGCCGTTAAAACTATTACAAACTCCGTCTGTCTTTCATTTTTTTCAGGGTTAAACTTGTCATTTCCCATCCTTTGACGTGTAAAGCCCTAATTCGAGTTACCCTCAACCCTTTATCATGCTTATCCTTCCAAAATTCAAATAAATGCTAAGCTTAATCCTCTGGCCTGAATTTTTTTCCGCCAAGTTTTTGCTGCACATGGTGTTCGAATAGTGAAGGTATATTGTTGTTAATGTTGTAACCAAGCATCTTTGAATAGCAATTGAACAAGCAGAGCAATTTCTATTGTTAGGGCATTTGTTAAGGAAATATGTTGAACTCTTGCAACTATGGCATATACCATAATTTGTCAACATATTTGTCCTGCAAAATTAATCAAACTACAAAGATCATACCACCCACTCAACCCTAGACATCCGGTTTATTTTTTGAATAAACAAAAGAAGAACAAAATATATGTACGCACCTGAAGAAGAAGAAGAAGAAGAACGGACGAAGGAAGAGAGCTCTTCAAAACGTAACTCCTAACAGCTAAAGAACGGACCATGGAAGAGATCTTTTGATTTAGGGCGAAGGAAGAACGACTGAACCCCCGAAGAGCTTTTCATTCACAAGCAACGCACAAAGTATGGTTTGTTATCGATTGAGGACTTTAAACATCAAAGGATGAGAAATGACAAGTTTAACCCTGAAAAAAATGAAAGACGGACGACAAAGTTTGTAATATTTATAACGGCAGGGGTGACATTTGTAATTATTCTGACAACTCGGGGTGGCATTTAAAAAACCTAAAACACGGGTCAGAGATTTTAATATGGTGGATAATTGGGGGACGAAATGTGCGATTTTCCTTAAAAACTATTATAGCAAGAAATTCTTAGATGACTCATAGGATGTTTTTACTTGGACTGTCATTTGTCCCAGACCAGACCAGACCAGACCAGACCAGTCCAGACCAGACCAGACCAGATCAGACCAGTCCAGACCAGACCAGACCAGTTCAGACCAGACCAGACCAGACTTGGATAGTTATAAAAATACAAAGAAACCAGACCTTACCAGACCAAACCAGTTCAGACCAGACCAGACCAGACCAACAAATTACAGTCCAACTAAAAACATCCATAGTCCGGTACATTTTCATCTCAAAATATTTGGTTTTAAAATGTAAAAAGAAATTAGTCTTTAAAGTAAATTAGAAAACCATTATTGTATTAAAATATCATAGCCTATCTTCGGAAACAACCTACTTAAAAGCTAAAGTAATGTATACTACCATTAATGCTACAAAACACAACACCTCATTCACGCACTTTTGAGTTTCACGCTTGAAATTGGGCAAAACGTTCAACTTTATAGTGCAACAAAATCATAGTCTAGAAAAGATGTAAAATACGACATTTAGACTTGTAACTAGACTAGTTTTCACATGTGCGATGCGCAATGCATTAGTGCCCAATGCATTTTCACCGAAAAATATGTATATTGTGTATTGATCTGATTACTTTTATTATTTAATTGGGAATGTTAACATTTATATAGCAATCAAAGAATACACTTTTAAACTTTTTTTCATCATGAAAGAAGACATACATATATGCAAAGTCGCGAAAAAGAAAGACCTTATGCTTAATTTTATAAGGAAAAATCATAAAAATTAGAGAAAATAAATAATTCTCAAAGTATTGGTAGTTTTTATTTGGCCTAGTCTAGGACCCTAACATGATTATATATAACGAGAGGAAGTAAGGATGGCAATGGGGGCGGGGACCCGTGGGGAACCGCCCCGCGGGGGAAGGATGGGGCGGGGCTTGGGGTGGGGCGGGGGCGGGGATGGGTGAAATATTTTTACGCCGTTAAAATATGGGGCGGGGGACGGGTATTGCTACACCCGCCCCGTCCCCGTTATAAATATATACTCAAACATATATATATACACATATATAAATAATGTACACACATATTAAATTAAATTATTTGTAGTATAAAACAAACGCATATACATATAGACATACATAATTGTATACGGTTTAATCATGGTTAATGAATTAATACATATTATACTAGAATAATAATAAGCTAGTGATGATTAAAAATATTTATCATAAATGTTACTTCGATATGAGTTTTAAGAGTGAGAAAGTGAGTAAATAAATACACACATTCATATGTAATATAATACATAGTACGTAATTAATTGTATTATAATTGTTGAGAATTTTGAAACAACGTACATGATGATAATATGTTTACTTATATTTTTACTTTAATTGTCTTCAATTCACAAAACTTATTCAAATTGAAGAATTATTAAAATTGGTGGTATTAACTTTTAACAAACACAATACTTCAGTGTGTGTGTGTGTGTGTCATATATCACTGTGTGCACGTAGATATATATATATATATATATATATATATATATATATATATATATATATATATATATATATATATATATATATATATATATATATATAGGTTTAAGATCAAATGAGAACAACGTTTAACATGAGAATGTGCGAACACCACATTTACCCCCAATGTGAAGCACAATGAGCTCTCACAATGCACTTTTTTGTATCTAGCATAATATTTACAAAAGTGTCACCGTGATTATTTATATTAGCTTGTATTGAGCGAAGTCCAAATGTGCACTAGAATGACTCTATTGTGTATCACATTAGATTAAATGTGAGTGTTCCCATGTTAACCATCGTTTTCATTGGAATCGCACTACATATATTTATAATAAGAGATTAAAAGTATATGCAAATACGATAAATTAAATCTACATGGGGGCACCCGTGGGCACCCGTGGGGGACAATGGGGTGGGGCGGGGATGGGGCGGGTCTGGCAGTAACGGGGGATGGGGCGGGGATGGGGGGAACTTTTTAGACATGGGGCGGGGGATGGGGGAGTGTACCCCCGCCCCAAACCCGCCCCATTGTCATCCGTAAGACCATTTGTAGTGGTTAAGAGTATATATTGTTAAATTTGGACTCCGTTCATATGAAAACAGTGTTTAGACTCCGTCAATACTGTTTTTCCCTACATCCGTGCACCGTCAATAAAATACACTCTGCGTATTTTTTGCATATCAATTTAGTAAAACATTAACTAAATTATTATAATTAATATTTTACTTTTAATTTTTTCCCTGAATAATTATGAAACAAAAAATACACATTTCGATGTAAAAATAAATAAATCTCATTAATTATTTTTTAATGTTTTTTGATTAACAAAAAATGAACTTAGTTCAAGTAAAGTTCGATTATAAAATATTCAGTTATTTTTTAAGGCTCTATAAATGAAAATTTTGTGTTTCATATTTTTGGGCTCAAGAAAAGTTCAACAGCTAAAACTTCAGTTTTTCTTTTCATTTTATATATTACATATTGGTGTCATATGAAAGATCTGAAAAATTCATGAATTTTGATATATTTCTTGAAAACATTAAAAAACAAACACAAAAGTTATAAGAGTTTGAAATAATTAGGAGTAATAATGACATCACCATGATGGAAGCATGTTTTCTTTCCAAGCAGCGTATGACTCTGCGTGCTAGCCCCTTCTCTCATTTTAATTTCCTTTTCATTTACTTTTTGGCTGGCAATACACCTTCCAAATTTAAACCCTTCCATCCCCTTCTCCATTTTTACTACCCTTCATAACCCACCAATGTATGAAATTAGGAGTCCAAAAATGCATTTTAACATTTTGGACTCCTAATACCTCACCACTCCAATCAGCCTAAGAGGAAGTATCCGTACTTTTAATTTTGACTAGATTTATCAACTCAGCGTGTTTGGTTAAATCACTTTGTAACAAGGTCACCTTTGTAAAATAAAGTGACCTTTTGTAACAACGGAATGATAGTCACCTTTCTTTTTTTTTAATGAAACTAGCTTAAATTATCATAACAGAACGCAAGCAGATTACAAAATGACAATAAATGTTTTGTCTGTCATCCGCTCTAGAACCAGACTTAGAATTAATCACCTTCGTAGAAGACCAGCTTAACTGAGCCAATGACTTGCACACCAGACTAGTGTTGTAAACGAATCGAATAATTTTGATTCGATTCGTGATTCGAATTCGAAAATGCCGATTCGAATTCGTGTAAGCAGAATACGAATACGAATACAAATCCGTTTTTTTTATTCGAATACTTTAAGAATACAAATACGAATACTATGATATTCGATTCGAGTAATATTCAAATATATTCTAATTATATATATATAGACATATATTCATACAATATATACTACTTCTTATAAATAAATATAATTCAATGTAAAAATATTAATAACATAATATTCATGTAAATATTTTGCATATTTTAATTTAAACGTTCTTACTTTACCTGGTAAAAATAGCTTAATTTACAATTAAATTTCTCTGTTGATTTCTTTATATTGATATTAAATTTGAAGTGACTTGTATAAATATATTTTGTTTCGTATGAAATATGTAATATGAAAATGAGTTAAAAGGAGCAAACTATACATCATAATTTCAATTATTTTCACAATTTAACTTTAATGTTTTTCGAATTCGAATATTCGAATTCGATTCGAAAAAGATTCGAATATATTCGAATATATCAAACGAATCGAATACAATATAAAATAAGATTCGAATTTTAAACGAATACGAATACGAATATTCGATAATTATACGAATACGAATAATATTATCAGGTATTCGGTTCGATTCGATTCGTTTACACCCTTAGACCAGACTCCTCATCACTTGTCCTAGGTTCTAGAGTTTTTTGCCGAAAAAATATTGGACAACTAAAACAGTGTAAAGATCCAAATAAAAGCAAAACATGAAAGATCCAATATGAGACAACTTTTCACTAAATGAGCGATTTGTTAAGTTCGGCCCATTGCATTTGTAATCGGGATAATTGGAAGAATATGGATTTCGAAAGAAGCCCAACCTCCATTCTTTCGTCTTCCCGCAATCCCGCCTAGGGCTGGTTCGGTATGGCATACCAAAATTTCCACGCCATGCCGCATACCGTACCGAAATACCGGTATTTGTAAATCTCATACCGTTACCATACCGAAACTTTCGGTACACCGAATTTCGGTATACTGAAAATCCGGTACGGTATTTACCCATACCGTTTTATACCGAAAATTCACAACAATAAACTTTTTTGGACAATTCCGTATGAAGCATTGACAAAAGGGGCCTACCAAATATCCAAAAAAATCTATTTTAATATGTCAAAAGTAGCATACGACATCAATTACATAAACTTATACCAAAATTAAAACACAATATTTAATCCAAATTAAAGTAGAAAATACTAAAATTATGTGCTAATATCTCAAGTCTCAACATGATCCATAATGAAAATTAGAACAGCTGCCCAACATAAATCAATGATGATTAATGTGTAATAACAAATCTCTGAATGGTTGTTGCAGCTTCTTTAGATAAGTGGACTAAAACTTCACTCCTCCATTCCTGCAAATGAAAATAAATCAGTTTTGTTGTATTTAAATCCTTCCAATTGGGAATAATACAAATCAGATTAACTAGATTATAATCCTTATTTTACAATGGATAATACATATTCTCAGTTGGTGTGCATTGGGAATACGAGCAGATTAACTAGATTTTAGAACCTAGGTTAAGACTAATTATATTGGAACCAATTTAGATTAATTACATTTCAGATCATCAGAGGACCCACAATACTCATTAACTATTAAGATTAGAAATAATGATATATGCTGAACCCTAGTCTACATGCATGGTTCTAATTTCTTCATAAAAGAGTTGCCCTTCTAACTAATTTCACACTTCAAGGTTCATTAGCTTCTGTTGCCAAATGCTTAAGGGAAAATTAATTTTGTGTAGAAGTGTTTGAAACTACACTAACAGCTCACATGCAGATATTTCACTAATCAATCCATCACTATTTGAATATTCATTAACATTTTATCCCAACAAATGAAAAATGTTCCCATGAATGGGAAAGCAATTGAATTGAACTGAAAACCCAAACAATCAGCAAATCACCTGTGATGTGTTTCTGCGATTCCCACCAAACTAAAATAGTGACTGAATGTACAAGCAAGAGACAGAGCTTCTTCAAGTTAAGGTTTGTGTTTTTTATGCATTTAGCTCCCTGCCAGTAAGCTTTACGCTGTTTTTATGAAAAACTAATTTCGCTGCTACAGACTAAGCTAAAGGTAGTTTGTGCGGCTGGTTTATATTTTTAGGTTTGAGGGTAGGTGGTGTGGCTTTGGTAACCATCCAATCTTTTGCTTTTAGATAGTGAAAGGTACTTTAGTCTAGCAATTACACATCATTTCATTTTTCCTTTCCAAAACCACTTCTCCAAACCATCTTATATATTCATCAATAAAAATTAGGGATCACTTTCTCTTGCAATTAAGCTCATGTTATAAAGTTGACTCGATCATGCATTTTGGTGCAGAACTCAACATGAATGTTTTTACTTTCAAAAATTGATATTGTTGAGTGTTAGATATGAACAACTAACAAGCAAAAGTAGCATGCAGGAAGAGTAAATAAAAGTTTTATTAAACTACAAGTGTCGATCGATCAACTTATATGCACAGGCTACACAACAGTAACAACTTTATCATCAGCAACTATTGAAACATAATTCAATATCCATAAACAGTATGACATCCATTAATAGAAGTCAAAGGCCCAAAGCAATACCCAAGCCAGTTTAACCCGCTCACATTTCTTCACTTCGAAGTGGCCCATGGATATATTTACTATTAGCAACCATTAAAACGTGAATAATACTACATAAACAGAATATAATTAACATAATCGAGAGCAATACCCAAGCTAATTTGTCAGCTCACATTTCTGCACATTGACACTGCTCCTAGGCTCGTTTACTCGGGCTTTAAACATTCCTGAAGGACTACCATCTGCCCCCAATTTTTTTGCCAAAAACGTGATGAAATATGTTATGCCAAGAATGGGTGCACTCTTCACATGCTTGAGACTGTCAAACTCATATGACTCTCCTGGCTACAATGGAGTAGAAGGATATGATCGGCAGTAGTAAAATGATTTGGTCATTGCTATCGTATCTAAGATGTAAGTTTACGAGAGGAAAGAAAGCAATGATATGGAGCATACATGATTCTTCTCGTAAAAAGAAAGAGACATTTTGCTGAGAGCAACAATCCTTTCATATAACGCAATATTCTTTGCTTCCATGAGATCTGGAAGCGGGTATTTCGTTACACGGCAACATCTTCCACTACGTGAATGAATGGAAATGAATAACGACCACTATAAGGGAAACGTGGTTATAACTGGTTGAAACTAAAGTTTGTTATTAATCCCTTATTGCAATAGTAGACTTACATTTGACTTTGGAATCTTATAAGAGATTAATAAGGAAGTGCCTTTGTTATTAAATTATGCTGACATGGCCACAAATCTTATAAGGGATTAATGGCTCTTGTTCCCTTATACAACTTGACGAGAATCTTCTACTTTCTTTTTCTTTTGTTATTAGCGATAAATAAGGGACCATCCCTTATATCCTCACATGATTTTCTTCTTAAATACAATCAGGGACGGATCCAGGATTTCTATCCAAGGGGGGCGAAATTTTTCGGTAGTGTAGGGAGTGAAAAAAATTTCGTTAGTGTAGTGGGGGCGTGGGGCGAAAATTTTCCCCTAGTGTAGCGGGGCGAATTTTTTCCACTACTGTAGGGCTATGCGGCTAATTTTATTCAAAAAATGACATTAATACATACACATCTCCAACGACATTTAAATCTATTAAGTTGTACATTCTAAGTTTAAATTAGATGATGACAAAGACAACAACCAATACATTTTTAATAACTTCTACATTGTTTAACCTCATGAATCGGTTATTATTGATTAGTAATTTTTGTCCGGCGACCAAAGAGGGTGTTCGTGAGTCATGACTCATGAGAAATTTTCTTAATATTAGAATAGTAGTATGTATGATATTATTATTTTTAGAATAGTATGCACCACACACACACACATATATTGTGCATATTATATTTTAATATTTGTATTAATGCTATAATAATTTAAAGTTTATTATCTATGCAATAAATTATTTTTAGAAAGCAAGAAGTAAATGAATTATGTAATTTAATGTCAATAAACATTTATATTTTGGATTCATTTCACGCGATCTAAAAACTGTGTAATTAGTGTGTCTGATATTTAATATTGTTTGATATATATTTTACAAAATCAAGTACTTGTTTTCTAATAAAAATAATTAAACATTACAAAACTAGGAATTCTTATATAATAAGTATCCTAAATCTTAAACAACGAGTTATTCTATTGTTTATTTGTTTAAGTTATGTAATTATTTTAGATTTTCCTTCTTTTAAATCTTCAATTAAGTATTACATTATGTAACACTATATATTACTTTTGAAAATTAAAAGCTAAGGGGGGCGAATCTAATTAAATTATGAAAGTTTTATGAAAATATTACATATATGATAGAAAATTTTGAAAATCCAAGGGGGGCGGTCGCCCCCCGCCCCCCCCCCCCCTAAATCCATCCCTGAATACAATAACACTCTGTAAATTATAAAAACTCGCGCCCGGCCCCTTCAATAAATGAAATAATGAATATTACGAAGCATATTATTCGTCTAACAGATTTTTCTTTAGTCACAAACATAAAAAAAAAAATCAAATAAATATTTGTATATTATATAGTCCTATTTAATTTGACTTATTTTAATCCCAAACTAAATTAGATAAATTCAAACAGACATTTAGGATGTTTTTACTAGGACAGTTTTCAGTTCCAGATCGGACGAGATCAGACTTAAACAGATCAGATGAGACCAAACTATACCAAACCAGTTCAGACCATACCAGACTTTCATAGTTATGAAGTAGACAGAGGCTCGAAAGTTACCAGACCAGTTCAGACCAGACCATACTTAAATAGACCAGACCAACAAATTTCAATCCAAGTAAAAACATTCTTACTACATAGTCTTCATAGTATCAAACCCGATCAAATCATATTTATAGCTCGTTTGATGACCATGTTTTTGGCTTATCAAGTTTATCAACATGTTTTTCAACAAACACGCAACTTTTGATTTCGCAGGTTGAATATATTGTGTAATAATAATAAAACGTAAGATTGGAGTTGCTTTTGTAGATGTAATGGTTGGAGATACTATAAATGATCATTTTAACTATTTTTCATACTCCCTATGTCCCTTAACATTTGGCCAAATTAATTTGACTGAAACACGGATTCAAAAAGTAAAGTGTATCATTAAGATTTGTGCAAAGGGAGAGAATCAACTGTAAAGTTGCAAAGTTATGGGACAACCAAAACAGAAAAGTTGACAAAGTTTTATGTGACAGAGGGAGTATAATTTTTTTCTTTATTTTCTTGATAAAATATATTTCTAATATAATTTTTTCATAATTCATCAGAAATAATCAATCCGGTCACTCCAGTTAGAACTTCATAAATTTCAACTAAAAATGTAACATTTTTTATCCTTACCATTACTTTTGTACATGTATGTATGGACTAGAGAGAAATGCAATTTTAGTCTTAGTTATAACTTTTGATTGTCATCAGTATTGTCCTCTATATGCACATGTAATATATATAGTCCAAACTTAATATAAAAAGTGGTGTTAGCACCATAATCATATATTTTTTCACAAATATAGTTTTATGGTGTTAAGTACATAATTTAAAACACACAAAACATTTATGAGAATGAAATTAAATTAAATTGTATCAGCGTAATATTAATTATTTCAGAAATGAATTTTTATAGTGTTAAATGCATTCTAAAGGAGGAGGGTGTTGTGGTAGGCGCGTAATAGCCAACAGTATCACCTAGTCACATCACATGACATTGATTTACAAAATTGTGCCAACTATCGAGAGATTAAACTTACGAGTCATACCATAAAACTTTGGGAGCGAGTGATTGAACAAAGACTTTGAAGAACAGTGAAGATTTTAGAGAATCAATTCGGTTTTATGCTTGGTCGCTCAGCAACTGAGTCCATTCACCTTCTTCAGCAACTTAAGGAGAAGTATAGAGACACTCACAAGGATTTGCATTTGTTGTTCATTGACTTAGAAAAGGCATATATACGATAGGGTACCTCGAGAAGTTCTTTGGTGGTCCTTAACTAGAAAAGTCATATCGTGTAAGTATATCAGCATCATCATGGATATGTATGAGGATTGTACTACAAGTGTCCGTACTAGTGTAGGGAAGGTTTGCAGAGTTCCCTATTACAATCAGAGTGCACCAAGGATCGGCTCCGAACCCTTTCTTATTTGTTGTAGTCATGGATGAAGTTACTATACAAAGTAAATTCAAGACGATATACTATGGTGCATGATGTTTGCCGACGATATTGGAAGTATGGCGACAAACATTGGAGAACAGGGGTTTCAGACTGAGTCGGAGCAAGACAGAGTATGTGCATGTAGTGCAAGTTTGGTGGAGGTAGGAGCAATGGTAATAGTGGAATTACTCTATATGGTAAGGAGATACCGGTCAACGACATCTTCCGTTACTTGGGCTCCATATTTCAGAAGGACGGTGAGTTAGATAGAGATGTATCCCATAGAATCAGAACATGGTGGATGATCGAAGTGGAAGAGTGCGTTAGGATTTCTATGCGGTCGAGGTATGCCGACTAGACTGGAGGGTAAATTTTATAGGACAACGATTAAACATGCACCACTGTATGACACATAGTGTTGGGCGGTGAAATTAAACAATGCACATTCAAAAGATGAGTGTGACAGAGATGCGCATGCTGCGTTGGATGTGTGAGCATACTAGAAAGGATCGCGTGAGGAATGAGCCAATCAGACAAAGAGTGTGAGCCAATGAGACTAAGACTTGGATGTCGTTGTTGTAAATGCATTCTAACAAGGCTTAGAGTATTTTAAATTATGAAATTATTCCAATAAATTTAAATTTGTAAAAATACACAACCATCGAATATAATGTATTAGTTGCAAATGATGTGAGAATTTAATATAATGGTTTGTTTCCTTTTAAAAAACATTGCAACATTGTTCATTTCTAAACTAATTGGTTAACGATTAATTAGAGTAATAAGTAAATGAATAGTGTAATAAGTAAATGAATAGTGAATACTTGGATAAAAATTCGGTCTTTCTTGAGGGGCGGATAGTATGTTTCTATTTTAAAGTGTGGAATAGTGTAAACTAAAATTCAGCATCGGGTGTAAATTGAAAATAAAAAAGGTACCCCATATAGAAAGACCTTTACCATCACTCTTCCTAACCTAATCGCAGCACTTCAGAATTTCACGAGCGGCGGCGGATCTGAATACCCAAAAGAAATCGCAGCACCTCAGTTTCTTTTACACCTCGCACAGCAAGCCGCCGCCTCACTCTAACCACATCAGTTCATTTTCCTCGATTTCACTACGGGTAAGAAATTCCTATAATGTATAATGAGTTCTTCTGTAACTAATTATTATTGATTTTGAGCGTGTTGAAATCATTTTATGTTTTTAGAGGAAGTGTCTTTACGGTTGTGTTCTTATTTCCAGTATTCTATAACTTTTTCCATCCATTTTGTAATAATAATCCTTTATGACTTCCCCTAACACTTATTCTTAACATCTTCAGCAGGTGGAAGAGGAGTACGACACAATGTAAGATTCGGGAGAGTTGGGAGGATGCTACAAAATGTTTGCTCTTCAATCCACAATTGTCTCAGTCACTGATCTTATCTCCACTTTGGAAGGAGGATTTCTCTCCAACAACATTAGTCAATAATTACTTCGTCATCTAAGTGTAATAAAAATGATTATTCGAATGATATTAGCTACATTGTATTTGTATTTTTATTATTTCATAATTATTGAGCTGGGTTCTTCCGTCTAGTAAAATTGTTGTATTAAGTTTTGCTTATGACATATTGTAATGCAGTATTTCATTGATTTGGTTCTATATATATAAATGATAATGTTATATGGAGTATTATTCTAAATTATTTAATGCGTATACGTTTTGTATTTTTAACAATTGTACAATTTAAAAGCCAATCGTATTTCTGGGGAATACAATTTATTATTATTAATATTATTAGAATTTTTTTTTTGATCACCAATATTATTAGAAATTTGAAAAACCCAATCGTATTTTTGGGAAAAATTATTATTATTAGCGAAATGATACATAGAAAAATAATAGAGGATCTCTTATTAATTCCTTATACAAAGAAAGCACTATCCCTCCTCCACGTAGGAATGATATGACCGCCTATTCCTTATTAATCCGTTTTATGCTAATAAGGGAATAGAGTCCTACACGTACTGGGTATTATCCTATTAACAAAAGGCGAACCAGAAACACCATTACAGCCACCTCCACCGTCATAGTTTTTGCCATCCATTTTCATTGAATTTGAGATAAATAGATTTTGTACATCCACAATAATATCATCCTGATTAGTCTCCTCCATAGACCTTCTCTTCGAGATCCACGTGGACGGAGAGGAGACAAGCAATGAGACTGTATCTTCCATTGTTCTCACGATTCCACTTACCTACACCCTTACATGTAGAAAGAAAATATTCCATGTGATTATGTGAATGATACGGTGTATGATCTATATACTAACACCACTTGGTTTATGTATAGATGTATTTTCAATTGTATCTATTCCACTGATTAATTTTAACCATGGGTGGATTTGATGGACACTTTATCATGACAATCTAGAAGAATTCCAAGATGCAGACTTTATGATAGGCGCTTACTGGTTTCACATAATATTTTCAAAAAGTGAATGTTGATGAGTGTAGCCGTGTAGGTAAACTCATTATAATTGGAGCAATTTCAATTGAATTAAAAACACATTCCAAATAATGTAACTGCACAAAAAATGCTGCAAGTTAATCTATAACAGTGATTGTTATTTGAACAACAAAAATAATATAATTGCATGTGTATTCGTAGAAGTTATAAATACATATATTACGACAGATATATATAAATACATACTACCTCCTTTCCTTAAAACTTTGTCAACTTTCCTTTTTTGGATGTCCCAATAACTTTGTTACTTTCCCTTTTAAGTAAAAAAATTGTGGTTCCAGTTAATTCTCTCTTCTTTGCACAAATCTCAACCACACGATTTTTATTTTATTAATCTCGTGCCGATCAAACTTGTCAAAGTTTTAAGGGACGGAGGGAGTAATACTCACGCGCATATACACACACTGACACACATGTATATATTTTTGACAGGCAAGCACAGTTAACAACGTTAGGCGAAATTATTTGTCCTTAATTAAGCAAACATGCATAATTAGGCCTGCACTACTGTATGGCACGGAGTGTTGGGCGGTGAAACAATGTCACATTCAAAAGATGAGTGTGGCAGAGATGCGCATGCTGCGTTGGATGTGCGGGCATACTAGAAAGGATCGTGTGAGGAATGAGACAATCAGACAAAGGGTGGGAGTAGCACCTATTGAAGATAAGATGCGGGAGTCGCGCCTACGATGGTTTGGTCATGTGCATAGGAGACCGATTGATGCACCTGTCAGACGAGTGGAGATGTGTGGAGAAGAGGCAGGGAAGAGAGGGAGAGGAAGGCCCAAACAGACGTGGGCTAGGGGAGTCAGAAGTGATATGCTTCTTCTTGGATTGGATGAGAGTATGGCTTTGGAGAGAGCGAAATGGAGGACGGGTATTCGCGTGGAGGAGTGATATTGTATCATCTTTTCCCCTCTTTTCTTCTTCTTCTTCTTTTTCTTTTTCTTTTATATTTTTATCCTTATATATAAACATTACTTTATCCTTTTTATTTTATCTTTTATATGTATATTCATCTATTTTATATTATCTTTTTTATAATAGCTTATCTTTTTTTATCTTTATTTCCTTTCTTTTCTTTTGGATGATATCATGTATCGATTCATATTAGCCGACCCCAAAATCGTTTGGGACTAAGACTTGGATGTTGTTGTTGAATTAAGCAAACATGCACATGGATTATCTTAATACTATTTGTATAATCATAAAAACGGGAAGATTTGAAATATATGCATACACACACAACTAAATTTTGAACATCAGAGATACGATAAAATTTGTATAAATCGGTGGATGATATTTTAGTTTTAATAATTGTTTTCAGATCCTGAAAATAGTTTAAACAGGGAATAAATTTTGTTTGGAAACAATTGCTAAGGCCGGAAGTGGAAGAAGCTAAGATTCGAGATCGGTGAGATACCTGGTTAGATTGATAGATGCGGGACTGCGCCGAAGAGGAGGCACTTAGCCGCGCCGAATGAAAATATGAAATTCACTAATTCAGGTTGGAATGATCGATGTGTTAAGGTTAATTTCAGGCTTATACTGAATTTACTTTTGGTTTAACGCGCTCAATTATGTAATAATAATAATAAAAAGTAAGGTTGAAGTTACTTTTTATTGGGTGAAGTTACTGTAGAGGACTATGTTATCTATATTTTCACATAATTTTTTCTTTATTTTATTAAAAAAATACTATGTATATTCTAAATATTTTTTCCACTAATCAACAGAAACAGCCAATACAGTCACTTCTAGAACATCATAAATTTTAGAAGCCGATTTGGGTGTTACCTCACAGGCCCTTGGACTTGTGTGGAATTGGAATTTAGGGGTGGACATAAAAACCGAACCGAACATCTACTGAATCGAATATCGGGTATATAAACAGTTTCATAGAATTTTATCCTAAATCAAAATTGTATCGTTTCAAACGGATACAGCACCAGTCCAAGATTGGAGAACCGTAAATTACCTGACCGAACTGTTAAAAAATAATGCATTTGAGATTTCATATTTTTTCATACTAATAAATATTCAGTATCTTCTATAGGCCATAAATTTTAAAACTCAAGTATATATAATATATTCATTCATCCCTAAAATTGCTAAGTGTGTTTATATAAATATTGTTATTTCTTCCTTTTAGATATTTTTTGTTATGTTTGGTATATAATGAAAGTATGTCAATGTTTTAAAATTTTTAGTATTGTAGTGTATACAACTTTTTGTTATATCATATTTGTGTTGTTTTAAAGCTTAATTAATATGGTTCATATCTTAACTCTTATGGTTCAACTATGAAATTAGAATAGATATTGAACTTAGAACAAAGAAAAAGAACGTTAAATTTATCTATTATATTCAGCAATTTAACATATTCTTTTTATATGTTCACATGAATTTAAGAAAGATGATATTTATCCAGTGTATCGTCATTTTGCTATATTTTTACTTAATTGTGTTGCACTATTTGAGTATTTGTGAATTTAAATGTCAGCCTCTTGAAATTTTTTTAGTATTTAGTATGCACTTTCTTGTATTTTTATCAAAATTTCATGTGAATTGACTGGTGTGATACTGTGATAATATCTACTAATAGCAAGATTTTTCCAAATATTTTCAGCATGTGTTTGGCACCGTTCCGAAACGACATGATACAGAATGGTTCCATCTTTAGAATCGGACCGTTTTGAACCGTTACAAACTTTACAGGTACATTACAGGGTTTATTAATTTACCGTACGGTTCCGGGCCGCGTGGAATTCTATATGCTTCCGGTTGTCAGGATTACAAATGCAATGAGCTGAGTATAACAAAAAGGGATTCCTATAACAAATTGCTCATTTGGAGAAAAATTGGTTCTTGTAATTAATTTAGACAAATTGTGAAATTGGTAGACAAAAAATATAGAAAATATAGATTTTTAGACCATTCCATTAATAAAGAGGGTTTAATGCATCAAACCATCTCGTGATATAGAAATTCAGTGCATTAGCCTATGTGATTTGAAAAATGCATCAAACCCCCTGTATTTTAATTAATCATGCACAAGACTCCTTTTATGAATAAATTTAATGATTTGAATCACTTTTCCTAATATTTTGATTGAATAAAGATAAAGAAGGAAGAACATGGCTCAATTGTTACAGAAACCCCTTCTTGTTATACTCCGCTCATTGCATTTGTAATCCTGACAATTGGGAGCATATAGAATTCCACACAAGCCCAACTTTAATTCGGTTTAGACCTGTCAAGCCCAACTTCCCTTCTTTCGTGAATTAACCTTCAGATATTGATCATACCAACCAGGATTTCATTCGGCTCCGTGCCTCTCTTCGGCGCAGTTCCGCATCTATTTCATTCGGCCTATGCAATTATCTCCAAACCAAAATTATTCCCTGTTTAAACTTATCCGGATCTGAAAGCCATTATTAGAGGGCAAAATATGTTCCACCGATTTATACAAATTTAATCGTATCTCCGATTCTTATATTCTAGTTGGGCGTGTGTGTATATATATGTATACTTCTTATATTTCGAAGTTTGTTTGTGATCGTATTGAGCTCAAATCTTCCTTTGATGTCTCCTTGATTGTCACCACTTTATTAGTACTTACCAAATACTAGGTACTTCTATGCATAAACGCAACTTGTGTTAAGTTAGTATATAGATGCAACATCTCATTCACACGGAATAATTGTTTCTTACATGTAATAGGGTAGATAAGTGGAATTGTTAGAACAATGGAAGATGCAGTCTCATTGCAGTCTAATCACGAAGATATCATTGCGGGAGTACAAAGTCAATTTATCACAAAGCCAATGAAAACGGATGGTGAAAACTATCACAGCGGAGGTTTCTATGGTCATGTTTCTTATTCGACTCTTTTTGATGATCCAGCATTGAACGTAGGCATCAATGATTACCTAATAATGATTGGTTACTCAAATCATATCATTGCACACAAGTTGTTTACAATAATCTGTATTAGTATTTCATTCAATGTCATTTTGTAGGTAAGATTACCTGGCACAAGGAATTATCCGCTTCAGGATCTCATGGAAGAAAAGAATACTCGATTATATGAAAGGATTGTTTCTCTAAGCAAAATGTCCCTTGATTTTTACGAGAAAAATCATGTATGTCACGTTTCTTTCCTCTTGTAAACTTGCATCTTAAAAATGATACTAATGACCAAATTGTTTCTATAGTGCTGATCATATCCTTCTACTCAATTTGTAGCCAGGGGAGCGGTATGAGTTTGACAGTCTTAAGGATGTGAAGAGTAAGCCTATTCTTGGCATAACATATTTCATCATCTTTTTGGCAAAAAACTTGGGCGTAGATGGTTGTCCTTCCGGAACATTTAAAGCCCGAGTAAACTGCCTTATGAGCAGCATCAAAGTGCAGGAATGTGAGCTCATAGACTAGCTTGGGTATTGCTCTCGTTAAGTAGTACATACTGTATGGAGTATTATTCGTGTTTTAATTATTGCTTTGGGTATTGCTTTGGGCCTTTGGCTTCTATTTAATGATTTAATGAGTATTGACATACTGTTTATGGAAATTTAATTATGTTCCAATAGTTGCTAATGATAAAACTGTTACTCTTGTATAGCATGTGAGTATAAGTTGATCACTTTTTCTAGCTGGTTTTAGAATTCTGTTTATTTTCCCTTCCCGACTTTTGTTCATATTTAACACTCAAACAATATACATTTTTGAAAGAAAAGCATTGCTGTTGAATTCTGCACCAAAATGTTCAAGTCAACTTTACAACATGAGCTAAATCTCAAGCAAAAGAAATCACTAATTTTTATCGATGAATATGAAAGCGATCGATCACAATTGCCATGTCTAGCTACATGTTTGAAGTTTATGGAAAAGCTTCAGAGTCCACACTAAATAAGTATCAGTCTACGGTACTTATTGGTAGTCAACCCTGGAATATAGAATCATGGTTTGCAAGTAATTTTTTCATTCCCAGACTTCCAGCTCCAACTTGAAGTCAACCAAAACCAAGTCTTAAATGTAATCAAAATAGGGAAAAGCCAAGACATAGAATACCTTAAACACCTTCAAATGCTATAATGATGTAGAATTCAAAGGCCGAGGACAAAATAGCTTGGATTCCTTGGAAGAATACTACTCCGTAGAAGAAATTTGTCCAGAGATATACCGTATGACATTGCTGTGCAAACAGTATAAAAGGATCCCCATAGTCTGGTATAAAACCTTGCAACCATCCTATTCGTACAAGCCCAACACTAAATATTTAAAATCAACCAAAATAAGATATAAGTTAGCCAGATTATCTCATTGGGAGATGGAAGATATTATTTTAGCAAATCAGGGCCGGTCCTAGGGCATGGGCAGGAGGGGCATGGGCAGGAGGGCCCTTTGCTCCAGTAGGGCCCATAAATTTCTCAAATACGTATGTGTGTGTTTGTGTACATCACTATTTTAATTATATGTACATCCTAAATCTATAAAAGGTAAAATATAAAATCAAACTTATATTTTTTAGATACTTGTAATTAGTTATTCAGCATCTACACGATACAATTCTATAATTTCGAAACATCCACATTAGAATTCATTGAGAACATATTTCACCATTTCTTTTGAATCATTATATTACGGATTATTGCATTAATTTTATTCTTTTAGTGTACATGTCTCATGTATATCCAGAACTTATTGATATATTTCACAAATTTCCTCCGATTCTCTAATTTAGTGAAAAATTGAACTTCAGTGTCCATAATTTAGAAACGTAGAATTTGTTTTTGTCTTGTGAAAATGTGATCTAAAATACGTAGTATGAAAAACTTACTCCTAATTATACAAGATATAATTTCACAGCTTTCCTTAATTTAAAATTTTTATTGCACCTAATAATTGCACTACTTGTTTTACTCGGCTCTTAGGTACATTGTATCCTCAAATGTCACTTATCAAATACCCTATATATATTCTAACCATGTGCTTTGTTAGTTTTTTTGATGTGTTATACTACTTTTGGACGGTAAAATTGTATTAATTTTAAATTATAGATTATTATAGCAAAAAGAACATTATAAACATTCTCCGCTATCCTTGAGACCTAGTCTATTTGTATTGTCCCGGGCCCATAAAATGTTAGGACCGGGCCTGTAGCAAATGCAGTGCACTCAAGGAAAGTTATATTATCTCAAAAGGAGAGTTATATTGTCCCACTTTAAGATCTTATTGAGAGTTATATTATTCAGGTTACTCATAAGGTTTTAGAACTATCATACATTCCTAGGTCATTGTGACATTGTCCCACTTTAAATTATATTTGTATAGAGGAGATGCAACTTTCATCAGTGCAGACACAATGATCAGGTTTACGTAAAATATATCAAAATGAGTGAAACACTTGAGGTTGAATACGAAAATTAAATACTCCATAATACGGAACAACCAAATGACTGCACTTGTTAAAAGTATCGAACTAAGAGGGTAAAGTAAAATAAAATATGATAAGATATGAAGTGGTTGTTGTAGGTTGAGAAGATATTGTCACTTGGAGATATGAAATCTATGTTGAAGTGTCCGAGATCGACCAACAACCATTAGTGTTTTAAATTAATACCCTTTATTTGCACTCTTTAAATCAAGGAGTTGAACATAATTTGTTTATTATAGTCACTAAGTTTATTTTCATGGCCACTAACATTTAGGACTTGGAAATTGTACAGTATTTAGGATGTTTTGACTGTAATTTGTCGGTCTGTTCTGCATGTTTAAGTCTTGTTTGGTCTGAAGTGGTCTGGTTTGGTAAACGTCTGGTCTCTGTGTATCTTATAACTACGGAAGTCTGGTCTGATTTTTTAGGTCAGGTCTGGTTTGAATTGTTTAAGTTTGGTCTGGGACAAACAGTCCAAATAAAAACATCCTTAGAACAATTTGATCTGGTTGATGAATTAGAAAGAGGAAGGTTATTATAGACGGGTTTATCCAAAAATGGATAGAATGGACGGCACAATCAATTTTCAAGTTCTTACTGGACGACAACTGCATTTATGGAGTTCGGTCATATGACTAGTCTGTAGTATATTATCATGGAGTCACTAAACAAATTGCATGTTGCTATCTAAATATAAAGGGATAATGGAAAAATCACTTATGAAGGAATCACCTCACAATATCAATCTTTGATAGTTTAAACGAGAAATTGATCAATAGCTTTAGGGAAAAAAACATTGTAAGTCACAATTGATCTTAATTGAAATCAAGTTCGTTTTTCAACTCTTAAGAAATACACTTGTACAGTGAACATTCCCGGATTGTTATACTTTTAGCAGGGTCGGTCTTGACCAAGGGCAACCAGTGCAATGGCTGATGGAGGAATTTGGCTAGATAAACCTGCAAAAAAGACTTAGAAAATAATATAGCTCGAGACGCGTTAGACGCTGTCCTCAAGAAAGTATTTTCGACTAGCGAAAACCATTCCCCAAGATATAACGAGCTCTTCGGCGTAAGCCGGCAACAGAACAACGAGGGATGTTTAAGCTCATTGCCGAACACATGCATATATATACACGTACAACGTTGCTGCTCAGGTTTGGAGTAATAATGACCCAACGTTCAAGTTATTAAATAAAATATACGTTGAGTACATTAGTACATAGTAATCCCATTGTACCCACTGAAAAATTAATAAACAATAAAGAATGCTAACGTACGTTTTCCAACAAACATATTTTGAAGGACTAAATAAACCATATATTTTATAATGGAATATACGAAAATATAAATTTGATTAATAAAAAGAAAAAATGCTATTGGATAATATAAAAAAAACTATATATTTTTTTTCTTTTTTTAGATTATTCATTTGAAATATTTCTAATTTTCCAACAATCCCCCACATATTTCAAATGAATAATTTTTGGAGTTTAGAAAATAGTTTAGAAAATGTCTGCTGGATTAAAAGAATGAGACTTTAAGTTTGGTGTCCGTAGACTTGAACCAAACCGAGACGATTAAGTCTTAATGAACCGAGCTTTTGGTGAAACGTATAGTTTATTGAACCAACAAGCTACTATTGGTAAATCAGGGTCTTAACGGTCGTGTCTCACCTCGCACAATTTCTCGTTATTACGCCATTGTGCGCCGTAAGGCCATGCGCGTGCTTGGTTTTCATGAGTGCTTTAGAAGTTTTGTCATGCTTCATGGAGGCGGCCCCACCTCACACTCATATATGTGATATCATCAAGTGTGTACCGCTTTTGCACACCACCCTTAAATTAAGGGCTATGATAATCATTAAGAGCTTTTAGCTCAGCCTCTCAAAGAATGCGGTTTCTAGCCTATATCTCACATCATGGAAATGGGCAAATTTAGTTAGGCTAGCAGAACTAAATGGAAGACTTGTTATTACCCATTTGAACTTGTTTCATGGGATGTCCAATCACACAAGCTGGGTACCGGTTCCCATCCCCATTCGTTTCAAAGTGACACTAGTCCCATTTCCTTAGATGTTTCGGTTATTAATTTTCGTCCTAGGGCTTTTGTCAAAGGATCCGCTAAATTTCCTTGTGACCTCACAAAATTAATGGACACAATTTCATTCTTCAATAATCGTTTAATGACTTTATGCCTTAAACGAATGTGTCTATTCTTCCCATTATAACACATTTTCTTAGCAGTATCTATTGCACTTCTGCAATCACAATGAATAGACACAGATGGTATTGGTTTTGTACCAACCGGAATTTCTGCTAAGAAAGATTTCAACCACTCCGCTTCACTACAGGCTACTTCCAAAGCAATAAGCTCGGACTCCATAGTGGATCTAGAAATTATAGTTTGTTTGGTTGATTTCCACGTAATGGCACCACCTCCAAGGGTGAATATATATCCAGTATTGGATTTTATCTCATCTGAGTCAGAGACCCAGTTAGCATCGTTGTATCCCTCTAGTACAGTGGGTAACCCACGATAAAATATACCATAATTAATGGTACCTCTCAAATATTTGAGTAACCGTCTCAACGCGGTCCAGTGATCCCCACTTGGATTATGAGTATATCGACTCAATCTTCCGACAGCATAAGCTATGTCGGGCCTCATATAATTCATCAAGTGTGATAAACTTCCAATAATTTGGGAATACTCATATTGAGCCTCGGGATCAACTCTATGTTTTTTCAAATGTGTATGAGAGTCATAAGGGGTGCTCACGGGGCTGACATCGAAATGTCCAAACCTCTTTAGAAGTTTTTCAGCATAATGCTCTTGAGATAGTATAATACCATCATCCTTCCTTATGACTTTCATACCCAAAATCACTTTTGCTTCCCCCAAATCTTTCATAACAAATTTTGAATCAAGAAAGGATTTTGTCTCAATTATTAACTCAAGGTTGCTACTAAAAATTAACATATCATCCACATATAAGCAAATAATAATGCACACACCATTTTCACATTTAGTGTATACACACTTATCTACTTCTAGTGAGGTAAAACCATGAGCAAATAACACTTCATCAAGTTTTTCATTCCATTGTTTTGGAGCTTGTTTCAAACCATATAAAGATTTGATCAACTTACACACTTTGTGTTCATGACCAATAACTACATGACCCTCCGGTTGCACCATATAAATTTCTTCCT